AACTAAACATCGCAGTGCAGCTGAAAGACGATCGAACATATACAAAGAGCTGTGGTTTCAAACGGCCTTTTGTGAGAACCCCAAGGAATCTTATTATATCCAGATTAATACTGATTACCGAAGTATACGGTAATTAAATTTATTGAAGCCATTATGGAAGTTTGATGTTTGATAGCATAAGGTCACAAGAGTTTTCTTTCTTGATAAATCTGAAGTATAACAGGATGTTGGAGTTATCTTTCTTTGTATTGAAATCTACAGATAGTTTCCCATAATTCCATGTTATTGGGTGAATTTCCGGATTGTTTAGTCATATTTTGGAAGACAAGCCATGAATATGTGTGCACAACAAAAAAATTGAATTCCCACCCTCCCGACCCCTATTAAACATTTGTGAATTTTCTTTAGGGAATTGCTTTACAATAGTAAAATTAATTATGAAAGCATATTATGATTTATTATGTACCATTACGTACATAACTTTCCAGCAATTTCAAGATGTTTAGCACTTGGGAAGTGAGCGCACATACTGCTTTAGTTTTGTTTCTTTCAGTTTACACCAAATTCATCATGGATTTCTGGAATGCCTGGCAGGGACATTATAAGTCTGCTTAGTGTGTGTGGCCGGCATTAACTGCAGAATCATTCTGGAAATGTGTAGTGTTTTTATTTTTCTCAATTGGACTGTTAGTATAGTCTTCGGACAAATATCCTGGTGGAGAGGTGTAANCTGGTTGAGAGGTGTAAGTCTTATTACCAAAGAAATCTTGTTATTAGATTCAAAGTTAATTTGTGCCCAATATATTGGCCAGTGACTGTGGACAGTGGGCAGAATTGTTAAATGATTTGCATAAATCATTCATGATTATACTGTGTACATGACTTCAACTAGTTTTCTTTGTCACATATTTGCTGTTTAATTAAACATGGCGGAATTCTGGCAAGTTGGCAACATAACATGTTTCAATAAGCAAATATCCTATCTTATTAAGGTGGTACATTTATCATGGGTGGGGCTGCTTGGTTTTCCCAAGGGACATAAATCAGTGGTAATGTAATAAAGGGGAGATAACTCTGGCAGGAGATCGATAGATCCAAGGAAGTTATGTGTTGGCCTGCACGGAATTCCCATGGGGCTCATATTGGTTAATAGGCAACTGCTTGGAGCACGGCGTGCTTTGCACAAGGGTTGTGTTCGCCTGGTTTCCCAGGGAACGGTCCTATCTGGTTGCTGTTTTGTCCGGTCACCATGCTGGTGGGCATACAGCTGGAGATATCAAGCTTTGCCAGAGTTCTAGATATGCTTATTGATACATGTTACAGCCATCTAGTTTTTTAAATCTGTGGCCTTCAATCCCATTACTGTGTTGGAGTTGTTTGTTTTAGAATAATGGTCTTGAGATAATTAGAATTGAGAAAAATGTTAATAGTCTTATATGATGTCAACTAGGACAGTATTCCCATAATGGTGACTCTTGAAATGTCTGTTCCGTGACTTTGAAGGTAAGTATTCCTTTACTGCTTCTATGTCTATCTTTTTTTTTCATTCAGTCGGCATCACAAAACATATTCTTTTTGTGACCTTTATCTCTACCCTCTATCAAGTGATTTAGTTAAAACATGTTGCTTAGTGCAAGTAAACTTTACGATAAAATTGCTGTTACAATTAGAGAATTGTTGAAAACAGATTTTTAAATAAACCTTTTGCACCAGCTTGCTTGGAACCTCCGTGTTCCGGAATCTTAGATCACTGTGTATGCAAACTTAACGGTTTACAGGCTGTCCGCGCGACTGGCCCACTTTTTTCCCACTACTTCCGTAAATCGATTATTATTAGGAGCCATTAGGCGTTCTGCACAAAAGTCCAAAGCATACATACGGCACCGATGCTTGCACGTCAAGTACAGCATCTCTTTTCCTGGATTGACAATGTTGGGAGAGTGAGCTGTTCTATAAATTTAACTAGTGACCGAACTCAATAAAGACAAACTGTCATCGTATATAAGCTTGTAAGCTAACCGAAGGGATATGCAATTACAGCAGCATATTTTAATGTAAGTAATTTCTGTTTGTTATGTATTTTTATCGAATCATTCTTTCATGGTGACGGTTGATCTCTGTTTTATGATACGATATGTTCATTTAACAATCTTGTCTTGATAAAGGGGCGGATCGCCCTGAGAATTAAGACAAAAAGCATTGTCTGCCCCGTCGTTATTACTTCTTTATCCATATTTAGATATATTCAATATATTTTATTAAGTGCATCCTTTTTTTTACAAAACAAAACGAACAAGACAGAACATATTTGTATCACGATATCTAATCCGAATATATTTGTCTGGTGATTTATGAGCTTGATTTAAAAGCAAGTGTAAGCCATTGCCCGATAAATATAAACACGACACGTCAAAAAGATAATTAATTAGGCATTAATTTGAACAGATAAGTGAATAAAATGACAACTCAATAAGCAACACTCTCGGGTGGAACATCATCTGAAGAAGAAAACCAATTATTTAGACCAACAAAACGAAAGAACATACGTATAATGTGTTTTGCGTAAAATACCCGAACTCATGAATGTTTGTATAGCATAGTCAAAACCAGGCATAGTAAGCGTCGAGAAAAAAGTGAATTCTGAATGCAATTGTGTGCATTTGTGTAACCAGAATCTTTTTAATTCAGTCTATGTAAAACATGAACACAATAAAATACACTTAGCCAATGTCGTCGAAATGAAATGTTTTGGAATATTGTCATAATATTATATTTTGTTTACTATCTCTAAGTCGTTTAAGATCGTAAAGTGATATATGAAGTACATACTATTCGGAGTCTAGGTTATAACTGACCAATGCCAATTATAAATAATGGCACTTAGTTATATCTGCACCACATTCTACATCTCTGACATTTTTGCATTCAAAATGTACATAAAAATGTCAATATTCATTTTTATCTTACCTTAGTGTCCTTGATGTTGCTGTTGTCCTGTAGCTGGCTGGTGTCCTCCTGATGGTGGGAGATGTTGGTGCCCTTCACCCTCACATCTACAGACGCTGTCCACACAATGACGGTTATTTGCATCACAATGAAGGTCATCGTTAGCTTCACAATCGGCTTTGGAGCCACATTCTGAAAACAAGAAAGCGCCAAAATATTACCAGGAATAATAGAATGCACAGCGATGCATGTGTGATATTTTTACATCCAAATATTATGCAACAAATCTTTCGAAATTGTGACAATAAAACCTGCTCTTTACTTGAGATGTTAGATTTAGGAGAAACGCATTAATTTCGCCGAAACCCCCCCAGAGATATTCAGAGAAAGGAGAAAATAGAAACGTTTTCTTAGACATGAAGATTTATGGTGTGAATCATACGTACGTATATCATAGTTGTTGTGTAGGACGCATGTGCACAAATGAGTGCCTTGTATGGTAACACACTCCTTTTCTCCATGGTGACAGTTTGTATTATCGCAATCATCCTTATGGACACATGTTTCGCCAACTGCGAGCACCACTGTAAGTTATTGAATATCATATAAACATAAATGTATCGAGCACACAGAAACAGATAGATTTATATAAATATATTAGTAAATACGATCACAATGGAACTGCAAGGTATCCAAAAAAAGGATTTATCAACAGACCTATGCATAACGTACCCATTGTACTAAGTCTTACGGGCATGTCATATATATGATAATGCACAAATATAAGATAAAAGTATAAATAAATGTATGGAGCACACAGAAACATATTAGTTAATATAAATATCTTTTACGATCAACAATGGACATACAACGTGTCGAAAAATGATTTATCAACCGCAAATAGCATCTTTTATCACATAACTGACCCATTTTACTATGTCATAAGGCCATGTTATATATATGGTAAAACACACGTGTAACACAACATAAAGGTTTTACGATTGGTCAAAACAAACCTGTACAAAGTCATCGAATAACACGTAACTGATTTGAAAGATTTTGTTTTTCAAATAATGAATGTTTTACGATAAATGGAATCTTAATTGAGTATCCATGTCATATTGAATCTATTTAACGCGTTCAATAATTTTATATGACACGTACGAGTTTACATCGCCTATAGACTCATATCAAATTATTGAACTCGTTAAATGAATTCAATATTGCATGGATACTCATGTAAGATCCTCTTTATACTAAAGGCTGAAATTATTCGTTCAGTGATTGTGAACTACGACATTCTCCTAATCCCAGCTTTCAACAGGATACATTGGCGCACCTTTTCTCGTGCACTTTTACCTTTATTAAACGCGCCGAATATTTGTTACATGTTTTTAACCATTTGATGTGCTTAATACATTATTGCTTTTTTTCATCCGTCAATATATTCCATTTAAGTATTATACATATTTGTCTTAAGTTTGATCAGGTTAACGAGTGTATGTAGGCTTCATTCTATATGTAATGTGTTTTGTATATATACAGGAAATAGGGAGTTTTGAAAATATCTAAATTTATAAATATATCAAATATATATTTGTGGGCTGTATTATTAATCCCTACGCATGTACTTTTTCTAACTTATTTCAAAAAAATAATTTGAAATTAAAAGGATGGAAATTACATATAAACTTTCGTTGAGGCAACCAGACTGACCTAACAACACTATAATGAAATTAATAACATCTTTAAAAAGTCAATAGTAAGGAAATATTGTCCGAATACTTTT